AATCGCCTGAAAGTGAGGAGGCTCGCGGCGGCCTCGGGGCTGCACCAGTAGGGCCACCCTCCAAGGTTAGAACAGTCATGATGGAGGGTGGCAGCACCATGGACAGACACAGACGCGCGCAAGAGTCTGCAGGAAGACAAGCCCGCCTGGTGCCGGGCACACTCACTCACCCTCGGCAGGTGCCCGGAAGGCTTCCCCAACCCCCAACCCGCAGACTGTCATTTCACAAAAGAAACGAGGAAGAGCTTGAGTCACAGCTCGTAGCGCGCGCGCGCACACACACACACACACACACACACGCCAGTACCCTAACACGAGACCAGACGCAGAGCTATCTGTCCGAGTACTTTGGTGGGCAGTTGTCAGGGAAACAGACTCGAGCCAAACGGTCTGGCCTGCGCTCCTGTCGCCATCACCTACGTGCTGTCGGACGCTGGGAAAGTGACTGAGCTCCTCTGAGCCTCACTTTCCTCGTCTATAAAATGGGATAAGACATCACTCCGTCCTCAAAGGACTGTTGGGAGGATATAGGGGACAAAGAAATGCAAAGTGTTTAAGCGGTGCCTGCCCCATTTGGGGCGTTAAGTGTTTGCCGTCAGTGTTACGTTATCATATCCCAACTTTTACTTCGTGTCAGTTCTTCCAAAGCACCTGCCGGAGCTCAGAAAAAGGCACGAGGAGAAAGGCTCGGCCACCGCCTGCAGGGTATGTGAGGCCAGCCGCCGGCCCTCCGGGGTACGCTTCTGGCAAAGCCCCTTCCAAGCCTGTGACTTTTCTTGGAAAAGGTCTTCTTTCACCCAATGCAAGCGGCCGCACTTCTACGTGACTGCACCAAAGCCCTCCTTCCCCGAAGCCCCCACTGCTGGCCGTGCGGGCGGATGGTGTAACTAACCTGTCCAAGCTCTCGCGCAGGACAGCCCCCTCCTCGTCCTTCTTCCGCAGGGCGGCCTGGCACTCTGCGAGACGCTTGCCGGTGCAGTTCAGCTTCTCTCCCAGCTCTGCCCGGGTGGCCTGGCACAGGACATCGGGGAGAAGACGCTTAGCCGACAAGAGCCCTCGAGGCAGGCTGGGAAGGGACCTGGCTCTCCGCCCCATCTGGTTGGGTCTCTTTTAACTGGAGGGGGTTTTAAGTTCAAGAGGCTAAGAACCTTTGGTCTGCGCTGGCGGGGCGTGACACACTCCTGTTTGTAATTCTAGCCCCCGAGTAATAATTGCAAGGCGTTGGGGTGCTTGGGGGGGGGGGGGCCGCAGGAATCCGAATCTCGGAGGGGTGGCTGGGGGCAGGGCTCCCTCTGGGTTCAGAACCACCGGCTCAAGAGACGCCTGCAGAGACGGCTGAGGAGCACAGTCTGTTTCCTTTCCATAGGGCTGGCTGGAAACCACAGCTGGCGGCCCCAGCCAGGGGTCCAGGAGGTAGAAGGCTGCGGTGCACACCCAGGATGCCTACAGGGCCGAACGGACGGGAGCTCCGGCTCGGGAACTGGGAGCCTTGCGGGCGGCCCTCCTAACGGGTCCAGTGGAAAGCATGCCGGGCCCTGCTCCCTGACAGGCGCACACACTGGGGTGGGAACGACCGGGCAGAGGTGGGCACCCCAGGCTCCCGGGCCGCTGGTCAGCACACTCCCCGGGGCCTACCTTCAGCCTCTCTGCAGCCTCCTCGGCGGCCTGCAGCTGCCGGCCTCGCTCCTCAAGCTGGGCCCTGAGGCTCCCGCAGTCTTCACTGGCAGCCTGGAGATGATGGGAGAGGGGTCGTCAAAGTGGGGTCCTGACATACGGAGAACCCCCTCCCCAGCCCCATTCCCCCAAATGGGTAAAAACAAGCCATCCCTCTCTTCTGCACCAAACTCAGTAAGCTTTGGGCTTCACTGGTGACAACACCCTTTCAAGCTTACTAAGAAACTGAGTTTGGTCCTCAAACTTAGGGTTTAATTTCTGCAAGGAAAAAAGTGCCCCATGAGCCACACGGAGGAGCACAGGATGGGTGACACAGCGCGGGAGGTACATCTGTGTCTGGGAGTGAGCACAGACCTCGGTGCAAACGAGCAAGTTTGGAAGCCCAAACCCCACGGCCATCCTGCTCGTGTCCTGGGTCGTAGCCACTCTTAACCCTTTTTCTCTGTGCAGTCCCGAAGGCACACGGGAGCCCGCTGTCTATCCCAAGGGCTTTGTGACAAACCAACTGAGCCAGTTTCTTACCACGGCGCCTGTCATCAGGATGGCACGTGAAGGGCCAGAAAACCCAGGGACAGGGCTCGCAGGCGGGAAGTGCTGGTGCCTGCAGTAGGTTCTAGAGGCTAGGGCAAGGGTCTCAAACTCACAGGCCCAGAGGGGCTGGGCAAGTACCTAAACGAGTGTAAGGAAAACACCAAAGGGTGCGTGTGTCCTTGAAAGGGGGCAGCCACCACCCAGCTCCTGGTGACTGCTGCCAGGTGGCAAGGAGGGTACAGTCTCTGAGATCTTCTGAGATTTCAAAGGAAGCCCCCAGACTGAATTTGTAAACATCTAGCTCTTTAAATGCTGGCTACTAATTTTAAAAAGCCACTCCGTATGAGCCAAACCTGTCTGCAACCACCTTGGGTTTAGACTTCTGGGCTAGGGCGTTGCTCTGGACACGTGCCCTAAAGCGTCCATGAGGGGGGGGAAGGGTGCTGCGACCCAACCATGTCTGCCGGCTGCCCGGTACATTCTTAGGCCGTCGCGTGCCACATGGCTGCAGACGCGTCCTATCCTCTCCTGGGCCCGTTGGGCCCCGCCGCAGTGGGGGTTGAGGCCGGGACTACCTTCAGTCTGCTCTGGTGGTCCATGATCTCGGTGCTCAGCTGGAACTTGAGAGCGCTGAGCTCCTCGCGTGCAGCCTCCTGGAGGCTCTGCGCCCGCTGCTCGGCCTGGGCCAGCTGGGCCTGCAGGCCGGGCAAGGAGCGGGCCGCCTCCTCGGCCACCTTCAGCCTCTCCTGCAAGCTGTCCTTCTCTCGCTGCAGCCCAGCCACTCGGTGTTCCAGGCCCTCCCGCTCCCTTGAGGCCGCCTCTCTGGCATCACGGAGCTCCTGGACGGTGCGGGCCAGGGCCTCCTCCGCCTGCTGTTTCTCCACGAGCTGAGTGCAGCGGTGGCCGTGGGGCTCGGCTGTGTCTGCGCTGGCCCCGGGCAGCTGCTCCCGCGGCTCGGCCTGTCCCAGCGGGGCTTCCCGGGAGCCGTGTCCTGCCTGGGACTGCTCCTCCTCGGCCCTGTCCTCCTGCAGCGCCCCTTCGTGCCCCGAGCCCTGCGGCGGCTCCCGACCGCGGGCCTTCTTGAGGGCCTCGTTCTGCTCCTGCAGCTGCTGCACGAGGGCCCTGTGCTCCCTCAGAGCGGCCTCGGCCACGCTCAGCTGGCTCTGGGCCTTCTCCCGGTCACCCAGGGCTGCCTGGAGCTCGGCCTGAAGGTCTGGCACCCCCGCCTCCCCCTGCCGGGCCTCTGGCTCTGCCTGACTCGGGGCCAGCTGGGCCCCCGGCTCCCGGGGGGCGGTGCCTTCGGGGGGGCCGAGCCCCTGCTGGCCTTTCTCTGCACGGAGGGTCTCGATCAGCTGGGTCTGCCGCTGGCACTGGCTCTCAAGAGCCTTGAGCTCCCTTTCCTGGGCCTCTGCCCGCTGCCGGCACTGCCCCACTGCCTCCTGCAGCTGCTGGCACTCGGCCTCCTTGCTCCGCAGGGCGGCCTCCTTCTCCGCCGCGTGGGCCCTCATGGTCTCCTTGGCCTTCCTCACGGCCAGGAGGCTCGCCTCCATCTGGTCTCCCATGTGCCGGATGCTGGCCTGCTCAGACTCCAGGGAGGCCAGGGAGCTCCGGATGGCCGCCTCCCGCTGCTGCAGCGCCTGGTAGTCGGCCTGCAGGGCCTGCAGCTTGCCCTCGAGGAGCTGGTTGCGTTCCAGTGCTTTCTGCAGCTCCTTCTTCAGCTCCCCGTCGGCCTGCTCGAGCCTCTCCTCCCGTCCGCTCCCTGGCGTCTCGGGGCCACCTGTCTGGCCCTCCTGTGGGCTGCGCTGCCCCTCCTCCGGCCCCCTGGAGGCCTGCCGCGGGGTGGCGCCCGGGGGCCCCGGCTGCTCGGCCAGCCGCTCCAGCGCCCCCACCTTCTGGCTCAGGTGGTCTCTGTCCCGGGCGAGCTGCTGCCTCTGCTCCTCCAGGTCACCCACGTGCTGGCTCAGCTGCGCCAGCTGGGCCTCCAGGACCCGCAGCTGCCGCGCCAGCGCCCCGGCCTCCTGCTCCAGCAGCTCCTTCTCCTGTCGCCGCTGCCGCTCCTCCTGCCTCACCTCGGCCAGCTCCTCCTCCAGGGAGCTCAGGTGGGCGAGGGCCTCGTGTAGCTGTCGCCGCAGCCGGGTGGCCTCCTGCCCCTTCCCGGCCAGCTCCTCCAGCCGGTGCTCCAGGCCGGCCCGGGCCTCCTCCTTCAGCTGTAGCTCCTCGGCCAGCTGCCCCAGCTGGGCGCTCTGCTGCCTGCTGAGCTCCTGGACCTTGGCGTGCTCTCTCTCCAGGGCCCGAAGCTTCTCCCCCAGCTCCTGGGTCTCCAGGGCCGGGTCCCCGGGGAGGGGCTTCCGCCGCCCCGGCGTGTCCGGCACCGGAGCAGGCACCGAATCTGCCTCCTGCTCTGCCGACCGCGGGCTCTTCCTGTCCGGCGAGCCCCACGCGGCCTCGAGCTCCCGGGCCAGGGGCTGCAGCACGGACTCCAGCCGCCGCAGGGCTGAGTGGGAATCCTCCTCCTTCTCGGCCGCCCCCCGCTCCAGGGCCCGCAGGCACTCCTGAAGCTCCTTCACGGCGCTCTGTGCGGCCTGGGTGACCTCCCACTGCTTCTGGAGCTCGGCCACCAGGCGAGTGAGGCGGGCGTTGTCCTCAGCCGCGGCGCGGCCCCTCTCCCTCTCCGTCTGCAGCTGCTCCCCCTGCAGGCTGACGGTCGCCCTCAGCTCCTGGTTCTCTGTGTCCAGCTGGTGCACCTGCTCCTGCAGCTGCTTCTCCCGCACCTCCAGCTGGTCCAGCTCCAGGCGCATCTCGTCGAAGCCCTCCAGTGCCTCGTTGTGTAAGGGGCTGCTCAGGTCAAAGCTGGAGGCCGTCTCCTGAGTCTGGGGAGGAGAAAGAGGACACAAGTGGCTTCGGCACGGAAGCTACGCGGCTCCTGGGAAAAGCGCTCGAGTTTAATGAGAACAAAAACCAAAATACAGCAATCACGGGACGTAAGGCTGGTCTATCGAGCTAGCCAAAGGGCTGGAAGCACGAGATGCAGGAGGTCAGGGCGCATCCTAAAGGCACAACCCACACACGTGAGCTCCGCCCGGGGCCTCGGAACCCGCGTGTCCCATCCAGCCTCCTGTAGCTTTGGGAGCGTAATGGACACTGGTGCTTAGATTCGTTAAGTTACATTCAAATTATTGTCCACCACTGCTCCAGACCTACAACTCCTGTTGTGATTCAACCACAAAACAGAGCTAAAGCTCCATTTATTCGCCAGTCTTAATGCTTTTCCTATTTTCACATCTTGTTTTTAACTGCACTGCTCTTTCCTATAGAACTACATGCAGCTATGATACATTCACTTTCTAACACTGTTAACAAAATTAACCCTGCCCACGAACACGGACTGAGCACTCACTGGTCTATGTCAAGCCCGGAAGCACTGTGCGTGCACTCCGTCACTCAGTCTGTGACATCACCTCGTGAGCTACGATGACTTTCATGCCCCCATTTTCTAGATGAGACAGCTGAGGTTTCAAGAGGGTGAGTGGTCTGCCCAGGGTCACACAACTCATGGGGGACAGTCAGCTGCTTTTAACCCAAGTGCCAAACTGCTTCGGGGCACCTTGGGTGGCTCAGTCGGTTAAGCGTCCGACTTCGGCTCAGGTTATCATGTCATGGTTCGTGGGTTCAAGCCCTACGTCGGGCTCTGTGCTGACAGCTCGGAGCCTGGAGCCTGCTTCGGATTCTGTCTCCCTCTCTCTCTGCCCCTCCCCAGCTCATGCTCTTCCAAAAATAAATAAATATTAAAAAAAAAAAAAGAAGATACCTTAAAAGCTTCTAACAAAATCTAACCT